CCCCCCCCGCCCTTTTGATTGAGTAAGGCTTGTACCCCTGCTCATTCACTAAAGGGTTAACAAAAATGTAAATAAAGAGACCAGACATTTTTAGAAAAAAATCCTTTAATTTAAAAAAAAAACACAACAAAAGTCTTCTACCTGCGAGGTAGCAAGCAGAAAAACCAAGCCGAATGCTGCTAAACAGCATTCAGCTATTCACTCACTGCTGTTCTGCCCCTATGAGAATAGGGGGCGAGCAGCAGCGAGTGAACTGATGTACGCTTGCAACGGCTGATCCAGATGTTAGATCGGCTTAGCGAGCGTGTTCTTCACTTCGGCAGCTGTGTGAATAATCCCCTAAGGTGCTGACGTTCCTAACTTACAAGAGAACTTTCTGAAGTTCCTAACTTGCACGCACTACACAAACACACTTACACACAAAGGTTGAACTTGATGGACCTGTGTCTTTATTCAACCTCAAATACTATGTAACTATATAACTAAGTAACTTACAAGAAAAAGTAACTTACAAGAAACATTAATATTCTGGATCACCTGCACCCCATACTGCGTTGCGACCTTCAGAGAATGGTGGTGCTCACAGTGATTACATGGATGGCACCGTGTGAGACTTCAAAAGTTTTAAAAGAAAAATACCAAAACTCAGGAAATAAGAACATAAATCATTGTTCTGTTAAATGAAATATTGTCCCATATGCCATAAAAGTCAATGTTACAGGGCCACACAGGGTCCCTTCTTTAGAGTGATCTACTGACCTGAAGAAGGGACCCTGCATGGCACCGAAACATTGGCTTTTATGATGCATGTAACAATATTTCAATAAACAGAGCAAGGATTTATGTTCTGATCTCATGAATGCTGGTGATTTTCCTTTTATAACTTACAAGAAGTTCAGTAGACAGAATGGACTACAGAAAACAAATTTTTTAATGAAGTATTAGAACACGTGTAGACGTATGTGAGCAGCACATTAACGACATTTTACTGACAAGGCTGAAAGCAATAAAACTGCCATGGTTGATTTTCTCCCTGGGATTGGTGTTGTGTTGTGCTCGGAAGGAGGGGCCTCTGGTGTCCGTCCATAAATAAGAGGGGTTCATACCATGGAAATAAGAAATCAGCTTGCAGACGCCTGTCCCCTGACTGAACATTAGGGGATTTTCTGCACTTGTCACAAGGAGCAAGGTTGACATATACAGCTATTTCTGCCTGTGAAGGAACTCATTTGCTTGGCTAGAGGTGCAAGTTGTATCCCAGCATGAATACGTTCTCGCACACACTGCTTTTTGGCACTGTGTTCCTTTTAACCCTTAAGGAGCTGACAGAGGCATGCAGCTGCTTCCCGACTCACCCCCAGCAGCAGTTCTGTAATGCAGATGTAGGTGAGTCCTGTGACTGTACTCCAAGATGTATTGATTTGTGTGCAGGCATAGCTTATAGCACAGTGATATTTTTTAAAGAATTCTTCTGAGGTCTGTGAAAGTTTGTTGTGTAAAACTTAGGTGGAAAAAAGAAGCCTATTCTGCACTGTGTTCTAAAGCAGTGCATTTCAACCCTTTTTTATGCCAGGGATTGGATGGAGTTTGTTTTGAAGTGATATGGACCACTCTTGACAATAGGAAGTTCTGTTTTTAAGCTGCTGATATAAGCAAATACATCAATGTATTAGAAATATAATAGGAAGATGTTGTACAATGCATTTGGAATTAAAGATATTTCCCAAAAAGTTTCTAAGTAATGTTTGAACATGACTTTGACCTGTGGGGATGGAAGAAAAGGGTCTGGGGATATACAAGGTACATGATCTGGTGGCTGAGTTGTTCTAAAGGATTTGTATGACAAAATGTAGATGATGACTGTATATAAACATAAGGAAGACTTGTAGAGAGTCAGTTTTACACCTGCTCAATGAACGCATTTACTGGTTTTAGGGATAAGTAATCTAAAAATGATGTACAATGTACAAGAAACTGAAAAATTGACCTGGTGCAAAAAAATACAACTGTTAATGAATACCACCCCTTTAAGGGCTCATGTACATATGGATATGTTGAAGTTTGTTTTCATGCCATCCTATATGGTGTACAGTGATAAAAACTGATCTGATATTGCCTATAGCATCCATCATACATCATGGGAAGCATGCATTTTAGTGCATTTAGCAAGGCATGAGCATGTCCAACTGTCTTATTTGGACGCTATTTTATAGCACCTTGGCTGATGGCTGTGTGGTGGAAAACTTTTGTGAGCAGTTTTGTGAGCAGAGTGATCTGCTCAAGATCTGGACCACAGAAATGCAGAATGGCTAAAATGGTTGTTGTTGGTAAGTAAATTAAAATGCTTCAAGGCTTAATCAGTAAGGTACTGGAAAAAGGCAATGGTATGTGAAGAGTAAGCCAAGCCAAGCCAATCAAACATTAGTTTACAGTAATATGATCAGTTAAGAGATGCTTTTTGATTGGTTGCTGTAGATTACTACACTTCATCACTGCTTTTTGAACTATCCAACTGAAAAAGCCTGTATCTAACTGCTGGAAAGTGTATTGACAGCAACTGTCCATACACAGGTCACGGATTCACAAGCACTGTGACCAATATGTTCATTATTTATAATAACTGGCTCCTCTAGGCTTTAAAAAGTAACCAACAATAGGCAAGCATAAGCAAAACAATAAAAAAAACTATAGTGCTTGATATACATATATTTAACTGTCTGAAAATATTGCATCCTTGCCTGTTTTGTGGAGTTTCTTTCTTTTTGCTGCTCATATGCCAAAATGAAATGTTTCTTGAGTGAAGTTAGAATGTTATCATTGGCACAGCAACATTTGAACTACTAAAGTGGTTAGGAGATATCAGACCTCTCATACCTTTCTTTGCAACGATTACCTAGGCTGTATCAGAGACTTCAAAGCCAAGAGCAGTAAGGATGTCAACAAGGCAGTATCTCACAACAACCAATCGGAAATAATCAATAACTGCACTGATCGGAAATCTTATTGGTTGATATGGGTTACTGTTTTTTTGCACATACACACCGCTGTTTGCTTTACTGAATAAACTATGTAGAGTTAACGGTATTAACATTTAGTGATCCGAAATATTGACATGGGCTATTCATATGCAGGCTGGGCACATAAATAATTTTATGTCACACTGAGATGACAGTGTGCAGAGTGAACATTTTTAGATTAGAATTAGTAAACAATCTGATTAAACTTTATGAAATTTGTATGCAGGCTCGACTTAGCCATTCACCGTTTTTCCTATTAATGTTCCCACTGAGATGTACACCACATATTTGAAAATAAATGTTAAATATATTCAGGGCTGCCTTCAGTCCCCTGCTGCTGGACACACAGCTAAAACTGTAAAGTCCATTTAATTCATCATGTCATGCTGTGGCTGCTTAGCTCTCATCCCGTGTGCACAGTAGATGTACAACATGGCTCTCCAAAGAAGCTGAGAATTAGCATCTCTATAGTGTAGATTGCACTTTGTGCATACTGATTACAGGCTTTAAAGACCCCGCTAGAATGTCTTTGTGAGGCATAATCTTAGCACAACTCATCATTACTTACACCAATTGTATTATTGTTTTTCCTTTCGGAAACAAAGCATATTAGACTATGCTTTAAAGTCTAAGGATAGCTGTTCATGCAGGCGTATCTGATTACTTTTTTTGTAAAGCAAAACTAGAGTACACTATATATTTACTAAATTATGAATTCAAACCTGTTACTTAATATTGGATATTTTTCCTGCCAAACAAATATTTGCATTTATTTTGCTGTCAACGATTTCCTCATGTTGGGCAAGCATTCTCTCTCTCTGGATATGCCACGCTGAAATGATCTATCTGTTGCGATGACATCGACATCACTTTCCTGACATTTATACTCACATAACAATTCTGTGTCTAGACTCAAATAAACAAGTTTACATATACTGTGAGCGTTTGTGTGGGATTACCAAGCAACTATCATTGCTGGGCAGTAGCAGAATTCAAGAAAGATAGCATCAGATAGCATCAGATAGCATCAGATTTTACATCAGTTTGAGGCTTGTGAGGATCTGATCTTTATGTGGAATATAGAGTAAACAGCAATTCATTTCTGCAGTTAGGTTTCATGCTTATAAAAATTACTCAACTACTCAGTGTTTAATAGTTTCTTTAGCTCGACTACAGATATACTGTAAATGCTCTTAATATACATATCATGCTCTTGATATACATATACAGTTAGCGTTATTTCACAGTTTTTACAGGTAGTTACATTTCTGAATTATTTGTTTTGCTTCTAATTTATTCTCTTCCTCAAAATGTACACTTATTTAGGTTATTTACATATTTAGGTTGATTGATTTTAGTTTTGACACATAAATAAAACTAAGTCACTCTATAAAAATAAAACATGGCAACAAGCAAATCCAAGCAGGTCCTGTGGCCAGGTAATGCACATTCAGTATTTACACATGCTTAACATAAAGTAAATAAGCTTTAAAACAAGCCCATAATGACCTATCTAGCTGCAGACACATTCAAGTATTTACAAGTTCTGGAAATTGCACTTTCATTTTTATTGCTAACTCTTTCAGCAATCACCCCTTTTCTGTATTTTTTGTTGTTGTTACTATTGGACGGGGGTTGTCTTTCATTTTAGTTTGGGGTTGATTTGAAGGCAGCAGTCACTTCTTTTAGCTGCTGTTTGATTCATAGTAAACTCGTTTTTTTTTGCTGCAAAAATGTAAAAAAAATAAATGTTAGGCTTAGACCATTTTGGCCTATTACATGTGATTAAAACTACCCTGTCACTGCCCAATTTTACACTGTTGTATAATCTGCAATCTCTTAATTCTTAATGAGGGTTTAATACAAATTTGCCACGGCAGGAAAGTTTTGCATCAGTGAAAAATAGACAACCTAGGTGACCACTGGCCAATTTTCATACACTGGTCATTGATGATTGATGGAAAGGCAAGTGTCGCTGCCAAAACTACCAGACATAAAAAAAAACAACTTTTCTTCAAGATGACAACAATCAGATTGGGTTTCTGTTGATGTTTTTTAAGCCACGCTAGCTCCAAAAGACTCTAAATCAACTCCATAGCCGAATGAGCACTGCCAGAGTACCGGTATGTTGTTGCTGAGAGTATCTGCGAAAATTGTAGTCTTCTGTAACACTGCATACAAGTTTAAGGCATCCTCCAAAGAATTTTGTTTTTTTTCCCCATGTTTGCCTTACAAAAAAATCAATTCATGTTGGGCTCTATTGTAATAAGAGAAGCATAGTTAGTAGCATAGTGTAGTTGGTATTGTAGGCATAGAAAAACATCACTCCAGATTATTCTAAAATATTCAGATTAAAATATAGGGATTGCTTTCAAAATCAACATTATTTGATCCAATACTACAAATGAACTTCAACGACTAAACCATAAAGTAGTCGAAGTTTCTTCATACACAGAGGAATTTTCTCAAGTACTGAAACCAGTCTGAGTGTTACTGGCAAACAATGGACCACGTAAGGTCTAAATTGTTAACAATGGCAAACTAGTATGACATGTCAGTACTTATTGTTTGAAAATGTTGTTGATCATTGAAGCATTGTTCCATTATTACCACTGGAAAGAAAAGACTCTTTGTATTGCACACGTGCCAAAATATAAGGTGCGTTGCCATTAATTTGAATGGCATTCCAAACGAACCTCTCACCCACATTCCGAACGCCTGCACCCGAATGCCTAGTACTGCAATGCCATGCATTCCACTGCAGTACGACTTAGGTCGTGACTTAATGGCCAAGGACAAATGTGGGTCCTGAGGTTACACAGGTTGAGAACCACTGCTCTAAACTAGTAGATGGATGGATGCTGGAGACTAAGCTGTTCCTTGTGATCTTGTACTGGACAGGAAGTTTAGGAAAGCAGAGCTGACAGTTGGAATCAGCTGTTCAGAAACATGTAAGTGCTTGGGCTAAAATGTAAAGAAATAGTTTGCGAGATTAATACTACTTTAAACCAAGCAAATCAGGCCCCGTAACAAAGTGAAATAGAATCAGAGAGGTGCACAAACAAGGGTTTTGTAGCTAATAAAGGTGATAGCAGACACCTTGTATCTCTCAGGAAGGTCTTTTGGTTTTAAATATTTGAAACGAGCGACATAAATTCTTCTAAAGATGACGTCTAGGTAAAAATGCAATTCCGGCATATTTATTAAAAATCATTATGTGTATTTCTTGTTCAAATAGTAAAACAACTCAAATTTATCTGATATCAGCTTTCTGTAATGTCCTATAAAGTAGCAATTAGACTGAGAGAGAAATTGCCGGCACTAAAAGCTAACCGGGCTCTGCTGCAGTGCATATGTGATTTTAGGGAA